CGAGGCTTCGTTTCCAAGATAATCAAGTTCGAAAACGTTTATTCTTTCTTATCTTTCCGCAAGGAATCATCTCCCCTGACACGTTACTCGAGCGCAGCCTACTATAAATTCCTCGGTGGTAATTGTCCTTCTTTCTTTTTCTTGTTAACGTACCGTATAAAGTACCCCACGTCACCAAGTATGTATATAAACTCTAATTACAACGAATCAGTTCGATCGGTGAATTTCATCTTGAGCAGCATCGGAGACTCGCGATACAGTATTGGACTCGGTTGACCCTTGCCCTCTTCTCGCACGTTCAACCCTCGAACAAGAGGATTGTTCATGATTCCGAGTATCTCGTAATTTATCGTAGTGCTTTTAGAAATAAATGGAATAGAATTAACAAGAAGAAATCGACGCGACATCGCCATTAAAATGGAACCATTAGGAATCTTCGTCAAGATCTAAAAGGTTTAATGTCGATTCTGTAAACGTTAGATAGGAAGATGAGCAAGTTGACACAATTAAATGAATAGTTGGATAAAGGAATTCTTAGATATCCTAGCTCTTCGAGGGTTGACCAACGAGGAGAACTGTCCACGCTAATTGCGAGTCTCCATTTTGGAACGTCGCTGGAGGTCTTCCGTCGACGACGAGTATATTCGGGCAACGCGTAATTGTTTTTCCTTATTTTTCTCTTTCCTTTCTCTCTCTTTTTTTTTGTAATTTTCTTTTTACACTATTGGCAGCGATATTCGTGACCTTCGGCGCTTCAAAGTGCAATAAAAAAGCTATCCAATAAAAAACGGAGAAGCGTTCTACGCTGACGGCTGTGTCAACTCTGAAACGACCCCTGATCAGACGGAAAACGGGAGTAGAAAACACGACGAATGGGGGATTCGAGGAAACGAAATTCCGAAAACCATTTGCGTGTCACGTTCGTATGGTAGCGTTTCGTTTTTTTTTAACAAGCTGCGGATGTTTATGCGAGTGTAAATACTTAAACGATTAACAGATACAACGGGCAAACCTTAATCGAGCCCTGAAAGTAAACGTTCGATTTCAATCGCTTCTCTTTCTCACGATAATTCATAGATTAACGGAAACGTCGATCTTGATTCGCATATAAAACATTTAGCCAACGATTTCCGAACGTCCTGCGAGGATTGCGGTTCATCGAACGTTTCCCGCAGCGTTTGGATACATAAAATCCGCAGTTTCATCTTAAGGACGCGCTTCCTCGAAGGTGCGGCGATTTCTCTTGTGCCTCTTCGTTTCATTTTTCTTCCGTTTCCTTTTTGACGAATACACGTGTATATATACATCACGCGAAATGCCCTTTGATCATCGTATCCGTACATATATCTCTAATAAAACGCTCAAAATGGTCGAAAAGAATCTCGTAGTACCCTTTCGCGTAACAATATTCCTCTACTAATTAACAGTGTACTAATGATCGAAAGGTATAGTCCTTCGATAATACTTTCCCGAATGTACGCTAGGTGTTTGGAGGGTTTTCGATTCCCCACCGGATAGTCGGGCACGCAGGCAAGTGAGGATGTCCAGTGAATCATCATCAGCCAACAAGTTTCGGTTGATTCAGCGTGATCATTGCGTTTCAGATTCATTGTTTCATCCAGCCATTGATCAGCCAGTTTAAAAATAATACAAATTAAAGTCTTGGTCGACGAGCGAGTGTTCCTCGCTTTCCTTCTTTGATTACCTCGAGTTCCCACGGGACCAGTCTCGGACCTCGATCCACTTAATGAAAGCCTCTAAAAAAAGCTCACTGAACCTCTGTACTAGTTGCCTCCGGCGTAAACGCAATCTTTCATCCATTTCTCATCGATTCTAACGAAAGAGAAGCTCTCAGTCTTCGATCTACTCATCTACTCGCCTTTGCTTTACAGAAAGAATCCCTTTTACTCTGGTTCATGGTAGACTACCTTCTAACCAGGACACTTCTAAAACAACTTATCGAACACCTTCGTTAGCTCTGCTAAAGGTAAGTACAAGCTTCGACCCTTTCCATACGAACAATCCTAAAAAATGGGGGAACCAGAGAAGTGACCGCTTCGTTCTTTTCAGGTGACATGGACAACCGTTGCTAGCGCGTCGGCTATCCGGTCGGGACGGCGAAGAAAAGCTCCCCAAACCTTCAGTTCACCCTGACTATCCCCGTGTGAGCATCGTGAATTCAATTCGTTTTGCTCTTCCGATGATGGCGGCGATGATGCATGTAGTGATGGTACTCATGCGATCTGTTCTCCTGCACCGCCGCCACCAATGTGCGCACCGCCTCCTCGTGCCCCTCGAAGCTGTCCGACTTCTTCAGCTGGCCGAGGGACGAAGCGGTCGTGGTCTCCGTGCTGCGTTTGCTCTTGAGTCGCGGGAACGTTTCCCAGGAGCGCTGCTTCTGCACCAGAGACGACGACTTCGGTGTAGGCCCGATCAAAAAAACCAGCGTTTTCCTTGGATCCTGCGCGGATTGACCTACCGTCCCGTCCGCGATGCTCGACCGCCTGCTCCCGGACCCGGTGGTGCTCAGGCTGTCGCAGCTCGCGCGTCGGTGTCTCCTCACCTCCGTCGACGCTTTCTCGTCCGCGTAGAACACGTCCTCCGAGTCGCTCGCCGGGTAAACCTTGCTGCCCTTGCTGGACTGGACCGGCTGCTCGTCCGGCACCGCGTGCACCTGCGCCTGTACGCGCTTCTTCGCCTCTCCCATGCTCGACGCCTCCGAAATCCGCTGGTACTCTCCCTCCTCGCCTGCTGGAATCACGCGAAACGAACCACTTCAACGTACGGACGCATAGCCGTCGTCAAAATCTAGCGAGGTTGCTGCTTCAAGTGTTAACTCATTGCGTACTGGTAACGGAGACGTTCTCGTTTTTGTAGAAAAACACTTAGCTGTGCAACTTTGCTATTTACCACAACGTTTAAAAAAATATTAAACTTGATTCGAATTGATTATCTATTTAACCCTTTGCACTCGGAAGTATTTCGTTAATACTTAACATTTAACAAAAAACGATGTTTTTTCAATTTAATTCAAAGAGAAATCACAGGTAAATTGAGAAACAAAGCTTTGTTATCTCAATATTTCACGCACCGATGCAATTATACGTAGTTCAATATGAAATATCAAATTTTCTAATTTTACTGCATCAAATCAAATGGCGACTGAGAGTCACCTTTCGAGTGCAAAGGGTTAAAATATATTACGTAACAATATGATATCTGAATTTTTGCATGTATAGTCGTATAAGTTGATCTTATTGAAAATTGCCATCCGCACAGTTTTCTGAAAATTAGTCGGTACGCAATGTGTTAAGATAGAACCGGAAGTCTACGAAGTCGGTAGCTGTCGATGGAACACGCTTGTTTGACACTGGCCGATTCTACCTCGCAATACCTTGAAGACGACTATACCGTCAGCGCGGTAATGACGAACAAACTGCGGATTCCTATGCGAACGTAAAGAGAGTTTGTGAATAGTAGGGTTGGAATTCGATTCGTTTCGAATCGAACGCATGAAATCTGCAGTCTAAGTCATTGTTCATTGTTCTTAAGAAGAAGGAACTAAAGGGTGGTTGCATTGAGAAGCGATACATCAATGGAGATGTATATACTTTCTGTTTCTTGGAACAATATTGGGTGTCTTCGTTCATTAGGACACAGCGGAAGGTGGTTCTATTTATGGCCATATTGGACTTGCTAATTCACTATATCGGCGTCTCTACATATACAGGTAACCCTAGTACAACATGATTCTGATGTGATTAGAAAATTAGGGAAAATCCTGGTGTAACGATTTCCATGGAAAGCAGGACACAGAATTGAAGCGATCAATTTCTCGTTATACTCGGATTACCTGTGGCTAAATCTATTTAGGTGTGTCCCATGCGGATTTCAATGAAATTGTGCGTGATGGTTGTGATCGTGCGTGTAAATCGTCGGTGACGAATGATGGGAAATGACCGGGAAACTGTAGTCGAATGTACATGCCGAGAAATGCTCCTCAAGTTCTTTGGAGAAAGACGCTATCCAGAATAAAACGGAAAAATAAGTTCTCGTTCGGATATCGAAGTTTGCCGCCCCTAACGTTCGATTTCCGATATCGTTCCGCGCGTATTCGATCACACGGGGGACAATTAATTGTTCCAACGCGACGGAGAGTACACAGAATCGCGTCGAGCAGACAATTCAATCGGACCACGGGCGCCGCTTCTAATTTACTCCCTGTGCAAGGTGTTTGTCTGATCGTTTTATGGCGTTGAATAGTACCGCGTAGACAATCGAGCGCCGGTTTTAATTGAATACCGGCCGTCGACGCGCGTTGTTTTAATTGCAATTCTAATGGCGTTCGATCAGAAGTGCACTCGAACGGCGAAGCCGTAGGACAAAGGTAACCGTCTCATTATACGCGCGAAGAATTATTCCAGCGTCCCATTAAATTTATTGTACCAGCTTAGAGTGGTTTAATCAACTTGTTTGTCAATTTAACACGTCCGCGTGACCCACTGATTCTTCGAGTACTCACGAGTACAATGAACCTCATCTGTGTTTCTTTTCTACATCCAAAAAGTTTCATCTTTCGTGTTTACCAAAAATTGAACGATTGTCGTTTTCTTTAAACCGGTTAAAGACCAGCCCCGAACTCGGCCAATTTTCAGTCATCGAGTCGTTTCAGTGTGAATACTTTTGCCGTCAATTATTGAATCGATACACTGATCGGTTCACATGATAATTAGAAACGATCACAGTCACAGTGCGTCAACGAATGCCCGATCGCGCGACAATCGTTCCAGCTTCCATCGTGACAGACGACAAACACCTTTGCACATAGTCCTGAATTGGGCACGAACGAAGTATAATAATTCTCGTGTGCGTTCATCAGGGTTTTATTTCCATTGAATTTATAATGCTATCTACATAGTCCTGTGGTGGTGTGAGCGCGTCGGTTTCCGTCGGATCATCGGCAAACCTCCCTGACTCGTGGGTCACTGTTCTGATTCGATCCAGGCAGACCGTTCTCCCGCTACCAACACGCTATTGTGTAACGCGTTTTCCGCGATCCTCACGGATTTGTCCTTACCAGTCGTGTGTGACTGTGGTTGCTGGGTGTCCGCGTATCGTTCCGGTTGGTCGAGCCCTTCCGCGGAATTGTCGCCGCTGCCGCTCTTCAGGGAACGGCACAGCGAGCGTACCTTGCTGCCGGACGAATGGCCCGGCGGTGTTTTCGGTTTCGAGCCGTCCGGCGATTTTCTTGATCGCCGGCTCTGGCTACGATCGCGACCACCCTCCTCCCTCCCCGGCGATTTCTTCCGGTCCTCTTTACATCTAGCCTTCTCTTTCAGCTGACTGAACACTCCTCTCTTCGAGTCGGAAGACTTCGCGGTCCCGCAGACCATGATGTTTCCGCTGGAGTCCAACATGGCGCCGACTCCGGATGGGGTGCGACAACGTGTAGGCACCTCTTTCGTTTCTGCGGGAAGAGTTGGGAATTAATATTGAATTATGCTGAATGCACTGAGTAAGTGGGAGTGCAGTTGGGGCTCAAGTAAGGAAATAAATTTAGTCCGTTGAATGAGGATCCACGGTAAGATTTTATAATTGAGCTTTACGTGTTGCTGTATTGTATCTGAATTAATGGTTTTCAATAGAAAGAGATGTCTGAGTAGCTACTTCTGAGAGGAGACCTTTTATACCTTTCATATAGAGAGCATTGTCTGCGCTGTTGACAGTGGAACGTTGCGGTGGATGACGATGATCTTTGGTTGGTGCCTGCGTCTGTGGCTGCTGCGGAGGTTCCTGCATCTGTAAACGCGCCAGGTGATCCAGCAACACTTGCAGACCTTGATTACCAGCCGCATCTGAGACTGCTGTGCTCACTTCACCAGCTGTGACCCCTGCTGCGAACGATTTTATGAACGGTTCTAACTGCTGCGCAGCGTTCTGTAGTTGTTTCACTTGGTTTCTCAGGGATAGTATGTCGTTCATCTAAAACAGAATCGACATTCTCAATTGGGATCATGTTCAAGGCGAGAATAAAGGAAGATTGAATGATGACTGCTTACCTGCGAGTGAAAGATTTCCTTTTCTATATGAATCCTGCACAATTGTTCATCCCACAAGCCGTCAAACACATTTCTAAGCCTTTCCAATTCCATCTGATGATGTTCCAATTGTCGTTCCAGCATTCGACAATCTTTGGCCACATGCTCGTAACGTAGACCCAATGGCGGAGTGTTGGCTCTCCTCAGTACAGCCACATCTCTATGAAGCTCCCCTAAACGTTCCTTCACCAACAGCAACTGTTGATTCAATTCCTTCAGCTGAGTGTCGAACGTCCTACAGTGATTGGAGAATGGTTCACCGTCAATTCCGCCTTTTGTTGGGATCCTCTGTGGAGCCTTGCTGCTCTGCTCGGAAATGAAACGTCTCGCATGATTACCGATCATCCATTAGACTGTGCATTGTTTATACAGGTCTGAGTAAATTGTCTGACTACCACATCCTGCTAAGAACACTAGCGGGAGACGAAAGTTGTCTGTCTGGCGAATGGCCAATTGCGCTACGAGAATGTACTAGGTGTTCTGTAATAATAGGATCTACTTTCGAGGTAGATTTAGCAATAAATATGATTCTGCTCAAAACCATTTGAACAGATTCTATGAAAAATCTTTTCAATATGGATTTCCATCTCTTTTATAGTCTCGTTGTGTCTGCTACTAAGTCGACCTCTGAAGTAGATCCTTCGTAGCTCAAAACACCCTGCACAACTGTCTAATCTGGCTACAGACTACCATCATATACCAAGTACAAGCCACATCATATATATCGAGAGTAAAGTCCTGTCAACAAAAATACTTACACAGAAGTGTGCACGAGAAATGCAGTGAAAAAGAAACTTGTAATATGAACGTAAAGATGGAGAGAGATTGTAAGTCGAGAGAGCTGGCGAGGCCGAATGTGGTTAGCTACCTGAATCACCGGCGGTTCCTGCTGAATTATCCCGTGAGTTTGATCGTACAACGACTCTTTCGGAGTCTGTGCCTGGCCTACATATGGTTGCAACGCCCTGGCGAATTCATTTTTATAGTTGGCCTTCAGATGGGCGGTCATTAACGGCGGCCTGGGTGGGTGACCCAGCTGGGCGACGCGGCTTAACCGTTCCAGCATCGGATGAGCTAACTCGAGAAATTGATATTTCGTCGCACCGCTGGTGAACACGGTGCACAACATCAAATGCATCTGTAATACTGGAAGTGCGCTACCTAGTGAAAGCAATTGACCCCGGACCATTCTTTCTTTAGTCTCAAACTGCCTTTGGAGCTCTGTCAGAACATTTCCGTGCGTTTTGGTGATAGCTTCTTGCATACCCTGACAGAACGAATTCAGTGCTCTCTTCTCCGAGTCTAAACTGAGCCGTAGTTCTTCCAACTGTGACTTCAAAGCCCTGACTCCTTCCCTCACGCCAGCCTGTAGTTCACAGATTGAATTAACTGCCCTTTCCATCTTCTTCGATGCTTGTAGCCAAGCATTTTCTATGTCCACGCAGTGTATCCTGGCTTCAGCTGGAGTATCACGGAAACAGGTGGCACACAGCATGCATTTGGCGCTCTGGCTGAACATTATGTACTGTTCTCCATGGGTTGGACAACGCCGTTGGGTTTCTTTGGTGCATTTGCTCATGTGCACCACCTCGTGTGAGGAGAACATCTTTGCACGGTGTGTGTGTTCTCTGCAGTGTGTACAGAGAGCTTGTCCTGAACACAAAGAATTACGCGTAGTGAGTACATTACGGTAGAGTTGTCTGTTTACAATGTTGGGTAGATATTTTTAGTTGCGTACCACACGTTGTACAAAAGAACATGGTAGACTTGTCTCGCTTGTCACAGTTGGCACATGGTGGATTCTTAGAGTTTGCCAACTCAATTAGCTGACGTATCAGTTGATCGGACGGTGGTAGTTGTGCTCCATCTTTTAGCTGCATCTGTTGCCTGTACACATCAATGTTTTCTACATTTATAGAAACTGAAGGGAATAGGAAAGTCCATTGAATTTATAGAAATAGTATATATCAAAGAGAAGGAGAATTTAAAAAGATCATTGCAACAGAAACTCCAGATGATATAAGAATTCATAACATGCACATGTGACAATAAGTATAAAATATAATAGACTTAGAATGGGTGCTTACAGTCAAATATCAAGTAGTGAAAGTTAAGAACAATGATTTACGTTGCAATGAACAGGGGGAAGTTTGATTCAAATGTACTACATCTTTTTTAACGTACGTATGTATCAAATTTCAGATTATATCTGGCGAGAAGATCTAAAGGCCCATTGTTAAGCACAAGATAGACCAAAGTATGCGGCACAAAAGAAGATGTAAGAATGAACAGGTAGTTTTGAACAATATAAGAATCGCAAGATGTTTCCAGTTCAATATTGACAAGGTAATGTGCTTTACAGTATGTACGTATTGATTTAAGTCCACAAGAAGAAATGCAGAATAGCACAGAAGACACTGTAACGTGCAGATGTTAGCCAAACCTAACCCAGACCTGGCATCGTCACCCACCCTAAGGACGCCATGCAATAACAGTCGTTGTTATCTACCCGCAGATGGGACAGGAGACTTTTCCGTCAATGTGAGGGCCACGGATGCAGCGAGCACAAAAGGTGTGAAAGCAGGATAGCAGACAAGGCTCGTTGTAATAATCATGGCAGACGCCGCAGATCAGAGGGTTCCTGGGCCCGCCACCGGGTACACCTGTCGTACCATCACTTTCGCCGACGCCGACGCCGACACCAACCCCGTCGACAGCCGACCCCGAGCTCGCCATCGTCGGCCAAACCAACGGCGGCCACCTGGAAACCAGAGAGCACACTCTTCAACGACCCTCTTCTGGACACTCCTCCAACGTTTCACATTTCACCAGCTCCCAGTTACACCCTTCGCACCAACTGCCACCCCGTCCCCGCCAAAACAACGTGGAAATTTCTCAACCGTTGAAAACAAGAAAAAATATGATAGAAGTATGTTTACCCCAAGACCGTTGGCCCGCCCGCCGCAGAAAACCCTGATGGATAGTTTATCGGCTCGTCATTCTAACGTAGTTTGGTGGGCAACCCCGTTTGCGCCTGACGATCGGCTCTGACGTCACTGAGGTGCCACCAATCTCGCCCACTTCCACGCCGGGGTGGTACGTACACAGAGAAAAGAGGACGGGCTGTGCTGCTGTGCCACTGCACGCGGCCAAGGGTGTAGTGGTGCGCACACAGACCGTACACACATGTCTACTCTGACGTAAGCACGCGGGGGTGATCGTGCGCTTACGTGCTCACCCCCTAGCGATGGGTATACAACTCCATCTCCCACCAGTCTCCGGGTAAATCTTTTCCTTAATTTGTTATAGTAGGATATCAACGTTTCGCTCTGCAACATATATAAATACCTAAATGCACTCTCTTATGAAGTCTCTTCAATATACTTACTGTAAGGGGTTGCAAGTGCATTATGCAAACTTGCGTTCCCATTATCAAGCAGATCATTTCTCTGAAAAACCACTCGCGTCGAGTATAGAATGTTAATATAAAAATGATTGTGTTCATCGATAGGGGTAGCAATAAGATACAAAATGTACATTTTCATGTTGATTCTTTCTGGAACAAAGACCTGACTTGTTTCCATGTTTCAGGTAATCCTGCGGATCCTCGAACCCATCGCTTTCAGCAGGTTGCACGAGTATTGGTAGCAATGGGCTAGGATCTATGTGCGTGAGAGTAGCATCCCCGACGTCCTCGCCCCTCGGCACCTCCGTCACCCCGTTTTCTGCACTCCTGCAGGGATCTATATGCCCGACATATACATTCGACCTGCCGACGTATACATGTGCGAGCTGCTGGTACCGAGAGACGAGCGTATTCGCTCTGCACGGGAGAGCGTGGCTTGTTTCTCGTATATAAAGCGGGGGTAAAAAACAGAGAAAAGAGGGGACGGAAGTGAGAGTAGAGAGCGAAAAAAAGAGGGAGGAAGAATACAGGGAGGGGACAAAAAAAAGAGAGAAGGGAAGTGGGATTATGCATATTCCTTTGTATCTGGCGGCTTTTCGTCCCACAGTTTTCATCCACTCGTCGCCGCGATATTGACGAAACGTAATACTAAATTTGTTCGAGTCCTTCTTCCTTCTCCCTTCTCGCTCCCCGCGTGCGCAGGGAGCGTGCGCCCTTTTAACCTACAAAAGAGGACGACGGAGGGATGCTGGGCGACTGCATAAGTACGCTAACCCCTTTCAGGCAATCTTTCTTCTTCATCTTCTATTTTTATCGCGAGACGATTGTAGTTTCCATCCCCTACTCTCCTACT